AAAAGCTCTCAATAACTCTAGTCTATAATTGCTATTAAAAATATTCTCAAAAAGAGAAATTGCTGAACATTTCTTAAACAAAATCAGATGAGCACTTATTATAGGTGGAAATGCAGAAGTTATTTTATTAATAATAAACTTTGAACTTGTGTATTTAATTGTACCAGATTAACAACTAAAGTATCTTTTAAGAGTGCAGCAAATAAGAGAAATATCTTAGATTTGTATTATGGTAAAATTGTATAGATTATTGAAATAACATTTAAGGTTTAAAGTAAACTATCTTACTATTCATAACAAAGAATATAAGAGAAATTTAATAATATGAGACTCTCTATAAAGACCCAAATATAAGGAGAGCCTTCTCTTGAGTATTTTGCTTAGAAACAATGTATCATATACCTGTGGTATTTCTTAACCTGTCCATTTTATTTACCAGACTTTCAATTAATGTGTGGCACTATACCATCTAACACAGCATCTGATAGGTAGGAGAGATTCAGTAATATTGGTTTTGAGATACTGTGTGAAGGGATTGGTCGATTTCTGTATTTCCAGGACAGAATACTTAGTCTGAGACATAATAAATAATCAAAAGAATGGAGATGGACTCAAAATGAATACAGTCCTGAAAAATGAATGAACAAATGCAAATGTTTGTTCTAAAGGGATCCATTTTTATAGGGAATTCATACACATCTGAGAAACTTAGCTATTATATTATCTTGGCATTGTAATAACACTGTACTTATATTTATTCTATTTAGTATGTGGCAGTATACCAATAGATGAAGTTATTATATTGCAAAGAAAAAATGGGCTGTTAGAGCACATAAAATTCAAGACTGGTATGCCAATAATAGTAACCTTGATATTCTCATTTTTCCCAAAAATATGTTATCTAACATGAAAAAATTATCAGTTCCCAAAGAGCAGAAAAACCACTTACGAGTATTAGACAGGAAGTGAAGTTTGGTATAGAGATAACATGAAATATGTGAAATCTAGGAATTCAGATCTAAGATGAATCTAGGAATTCATCTTAGAGATGAACCTGTTAGTGGTTAAGTAACTTAACCAAATTTATATAGCTTTTAAGAGACAGAACTTAGAGTTGAATCCAGCTTAGCTAAATGCCAAGGTCCAACCTTTTAACCACTGTGTCATCTCAATTGTCTCCCATAGATTTTTGCCACAGTATTCAGCTCCCAAATGAATAGGGTAGATACGAAACCAGGAAGCTATGAAATGGAGTGGGTGAAAATCGTAGTAAAAAAATAGAATATGGTGCCATTGTGAATAAAAAAATCACATCATCAAGTTTTAATTGATTGTAAGAAACTTACCTAATCAAATCTAAAGGCTGCTCCTTATAAAAATAGGAAAATCGAGCCCAATTCTGGTAAAGTATGTACCTTTCATTGACAGGATTAGGAGGTTCTGATGGCTTCCAATATTGGCCCTGAACATATTTGAGAAGAAGGTGGAAAAAAGAAAAGCAAAAGACAAAGGTGAAATAAATGAGCATCGCTTTTATGAGAAGGTTAGTGAAGAAGGCTAAAGCTCTTGTTTACTTTTAGATTTAGATTCCATGATGTGACATTATTTACTAAAATCTACAACAAACTATAATAATAGTGGTTTATTTATTAAATTGTTACATCCACTTATCTAAAAACACAAGCTTTACTCAAGCTGTTCATTTCACCAGGAATGCCCTTTCTTCTCTACTCGAATTTGAACATAATACGCACAGCTCAGAGATTCACATCACTATGTAGCTGGCTAGGACTTTAGAAACAGCCTAACACTTTTATTTTCTAGATAGAAAAATTAAACCTCAAGCAAAGTTAAGTGATTAATCCAAAGTCATACTGCTATTACGGGAAGAGATTCCTATTCTCACTGATAACCATTTCTATAGAACTTAAAATATTACAACGAACTTCAGCACTTAAGAGCTTCAGCATTGTTTCAGTCCTAAGTTCTTTCCCCATTGTTAGATACTGAGTAGCTTTATGAATGTCTCTTCATGGCCTAGCAAAGTACTGTGTACACAGTAGCTGTTTAATACATTCTTTTTCACTGTTCATATAGACAAATAAACTGCTAAAAACAACACTGAATGACTATCCAGTTTAAAATTTAGCACATGTGAAAAGCTCCATATGATAACATGTAAGATTATATATATCATCCAGATTCCAACCTTTTTCTTCTTCTGCAACTAATCCTACCAAACCATGAGAAATGAAATTAAAAAAAGAAAAAAGAAAAAGCCAGCCTATTTGGGTATCTTGTAAAAATGATTCTGTAAGGCACGTGAGGAAAAATCCAATACCTAAACCTCCATTCAGAAAAAAAGAAAGGAAAAAAAGTAAAATTAACATTTAGTTATGGCTATCTCTAATGACAGCTCAGTAACATTGAATTTCCTGTGAACCTGAATGACTCTATTGAAAGGTTGGATGTTAAAAGTGTTGATGACTAAGAATATTAATTTGGCTTTATGATATGGCATAGTAAGAAGAGAATTAATGCCCTAAAAAATGAATAAACAAGCAAAAAAATCCTCAAAGTTTTCCAAAAAATTAATGATCCCTTTCAGGAAGATTGACAAAGAATGCATTGCAAAGTGTTTATTAACCTACTTTAGTTCTCTCTACTTTAACAAATGCTCATTATTTAGAATCCATAATCCTCTAAGAGTTCTTCTGCCCCAGGGAAAAAAAAATGCATACAGTAGGCTCTCTATATCTGCAGGTCCACATTCCCAAATTCAACCGACAGAGTATCAAAAATATGCAGGAAAAAAACCAATAAAACATAACAATACAACAATAAAAATACAAATTTGTTAAAAAACAATGCAGGATAACAACTATTTACATAGTATTTACATTGTGTTAGATATCGTAAGTAATATAGAGATGATTTAAAGCATATGGGAGGTTAGATGCAAATACATTCTATTTTAAAAAAGGGACTTGAACATCTGGAGATTTTGGTATCCTCAGGTGGAGGCAGTGGTTTTGGAATCAATCCCCTGCAGATACTGACTATGTGTGTGTTGGGGAGGGGTATCGGAGGAGGGAGGAGGAATGTTTGTTTTCTCCAGCACTTAAATACACCTAAATTGAGGATCCTGTTGAAAACAGCTACTCTGGAATTCTGCTCTACTCTTATGGGAAACATACCAAAAATAATAAACCAATCAGTTTTAAACTGACCTAGAGTCAACTTTCATGCTGTTGAATAAATATTTACAGAGGAAAGCTGCCATGATGGTTTAAGTCCTGGAAAACAAAGAGTTTGGCTTTGGCCTGTTGGAACTATTACAGCAACGCTACCTTCAAAAAAATGGGCAATGATTTAGCTGTCACTTGTTTCAATGGAAATGTTGATTCTTCTATATTCCTGAGAAATGTGTTTCTTGCAAAGAGAGTACATCATTAAAAAGTCTTTTATAAGTATGGAAGAGTAAAACTAGAGCAAAAGAAACAAAAGTTCCAAGGGATGATCTCAAGGTAGTATA